AGGCTAGTGCACAGCCTTATTTTAAACGTGATTAAAAGTTATTGTCAAGAGTTGAAAAATTACAAACCAAATGAATTCATAAACTGTTGAATTGCTGTGTCTAAAGTGGGATCTTGAACTTATACATATAATAGGGGGAAAATTACCTGAAAAGTAAAAGAAGTAGGTGAGATGCAAGATAACCATGATATTGTTTTCATGAGAATGTTTTGGTTATTTTAGACAATTAAAGTATACATTTTATGTAAAAATATGTAGTAAATTTCAATAGAAACTGTCATGTTTTAACTGATCATAAAAATTTAAAAGATGAATTTTCTTATCTAATAGTTCTTCTTTATAGGAGAATACACACTTAGTCCAGACTCCGGGCGCTGCGTGGACTGCCAGGGTGGCTATTATTGCACGCTCACAAAAGAAACACCCTGCGGTAAGGGAAAATACAGTAAAGAGGGCGCCAGCTCATGTGACTCGTGTCCAGCAGGCTACCACTGCCCTCTGCCCACCACTACGGACCCAGAGCCATGTCCAGCTGGAAGTTATTCCATGCCAGGTGCAGTGGTCTGTTCCCCTTGTCCAGTTGGAAATGGGTGTCCACTGCCTGCCATGAGTTCTCCTTCACTGTGCCAGAATGGGACTTACTCCGAGTCTGCTGGGGCAGTTAACTGTGTGCCATGTCCAGCAGGTAAGAGAGAGAGATTCGCTTGCTGAAGCATAGACCTGGAAGTTATTTTTTACAAAAGACAAATAAATATGTATGTGATCAAATAAATGAATGAAAATAAATAAATATATGAAGATAAATGAATGAAATGAAATATAAATGCAAAAGAATGAAAAAGCAAAAATTTCATTTGAAGTTGTGGCATAGTTGAACTTACTACTTTATTTTTAGATTGAGGCGTGGAAGTGTGCTCGAGTAATATTTTTAATTATTTGAAACATTATCCATTTCTTTCTTGTTATAATCATGTATTGAGTAATATTTCATTTAATTGGATTAATGCTGATTTATTTTTGGTGAAACCAAACTAATTTGGCCTCAACATTAACACCAATTCTCAAGTCTGTTTGAAAGAGGCTTTGTCTATCCATCTTGCACCACCTAACATATTTATTCACCCTCAATCTGCTTAATAGATTTTTTTCTTCAAATGTATTGGATAATTTATATACAAATTTTTTAAATTATTTATTCGATGATGTTTTTGTCAGCTGGCAAATTACATATAGTCCATATTGGATATGGCTGCCATATTAGAAATTTCAGACATGCCTTTACAACCAGATATACTCAGAATAGCATTTCTACAACTGTGTCAAGTTTCTTGCTGACAGTTAAAAGTGCACTGCTAACTTTTTCCTGCACCATGTTGTTGGACAAATGTATACATTTAAATATGAAAATCTTTCAGGCAAGCAGTGTGTCAATCCTGCCCAGGTTCCAGTCCTCTGTCCAGTGGGCACCTATAGTCCAGCTGGGTGGTCAGTCTGTCTGCAGTGTACGGATGGTTACTTTACAGACTCAGAAGGGTCAGTCACATGTGACCCATGTCCAGCTGGTCATTCATGTCTTAACAAGACAGAGCCTCCAACTCAATGTCCTCCTGGGACCTATAGCCCTGGTGGGCGAGCGGCTTGCCTGGACTGTCCAGATGGAGATTTCACCATAACCCAAGGGTCGACATCCTGCACCCCTTGTCCAGCTGGTCACTCTTGTGTGGACCATGCCGCGGCCCCCGTACCATGTGCCCCCGGCCAGCACAGTCCCGGGAGTAGTAAGTACTGCACACTGTGTGGCGCGGGGCAATTCAAAGAGAATCCAGGAGATGGCGCCTGTGAGGCTTGTCCGGCTGGTCATCAGTGTCCTAATGTTACCACAAGTAGGTGTCCTTTTTTTTTTATAGATGAATTTTTAAAAGAATGAAACATGCATTTTTCTTTTTCAAAATTATTTTCAAACTCACGATTACATTTTTATCCTAATTTTGATGGTGTTTTCTTCATGTTTTTAGATTTAATTATTAAGTTCACCCCTGCTGTTCTTTGTGCTTTCAGAAGAGCAGTGTCCTAGTGGCCAGTACTCTCCTGGAGGACTGGCCACCTGTCTGCCATGTCCAGTTGGTCACTCATGTCCAGCTGGTAGCAGTTCACCCTTAGAGTGCCCAGCAGGTTCCTACGCCCTTCCGTTAAGCAGTATCTGTACCCCTTGCCCCACTGGTCACTACTGTCCAAATACAACCATGGTCCAGCCTGTCCAGTGTCCAGATGGTCACTTTCAAGTGACCAGTGGTGGACTGAATTGTACAGAGTGCCCACAAGGTAGTGATATTTGGAAGTTCTTTGCTGATTTTCAGTATTACCCTCTTTATACCAATTTTTTATTCCCTTCTCCAATTTTAGCACTGGAGCCACTCCAATGCCACTTTTATTGAAGTTCGTCAGTAGAATTTCATATGTTTGTTCTGTTACTGGCCACTATTTCTACATTGGACCAGTAGCTTCACAGACCCTAGCAACTTCACATGGACTAAATCTTCATTATGCTGTTGGATATGCCCACTTGTGTTGAACACTGTCTATTTTTCTAATGCTTATTCTGGAACATACATGTACATGTATGATCAGATTAAGTACTTTCCGTTTCTCTATAAAGATATGGAGTACATGTTTAAGAGCTAGAATTTTGTAAAAGATACAACTTACACCAATTTAAAAGTACAATTCTAGAATTTTCAATTATTTAAAAATATTCAAATGACCAAATATATTTAATAAGTAGACTAATATTACAAAGCATGTAATATAACATATGCATTTGGTGCTCAACAAGGGACCTCATTATTATTAATCAACAATATTATTAATTTTTGACAGGCTATATAAGATTAAATGGTTTATGATTTATAAAAATGTGAAATATGTATACAAGTTTGTATAATGTGTCTGTGCTTCAGGTCACAGATGCCCCAGTATATACTCCCCACCAGAACCTTGTCTGTCTGGTCAGTATCAGAACCAGACTGGAATGTCCAGTTGTCTGCCATGTCCTGGTGGTCATCAGTGTCCAGATGGAAGTAACCCTCCTATCAAGTGTCCAGTTGGATATTTTGCTGAGCCAGGAAGCTCTAGCTGTACAGTATGCCCAGCTGGTCACTACTGTCCAGATGTGGGCATGGTCCAGCCTGTCCAGTGTCCAGATGGTCACTATCAGAAGTCCACTGGGAACACAAGTTGCATAGAGTGCCCACAGGGTAAGACCCAGAAACATTTTGGTGTTTGTTATAGATAAGAGTTCTAAACAGAGGATTATATGATATCCATTATTGTTTTTATTGCATTAATGCTTCTGTGAATGGGTTATCCCAAAAGTTGCATTTACGAGTGTTCTTCATTAAAGATGTGAAATATTTTTCCGATATTTATTTTACCTAGTATGTTTTTCAGGCTCTAGCACAAAAAAAAGTACTGGGGGCTCAATATTCCAGATGCATGAGTAAAAAAAGCCTTTTTAGACCAAGTTTTGACCTTTAATGAAATTTCTTTAAATTTCAGATACGTGGCAAAATAAGCACAAAAAAACTTCAATAATCTGTGCATGCTTTCTACTTACTGAACATGTTTTTGTAATACCTGTCCAGGTCACAGATGTCCGAGTATATACTCCCCACCAGAACCTTGTCTGTCTGGTCAGTATCAGAACCAGACTGGAATGTCCAGTTGTCTGCCATGCCCTGGTGGTCATCGATGTCCAGATGGTTTAACTTCTCTGGCCAAATGTCCAGCTGGATATTTTGCTGAATCTGGAAGCTCTAGCTGTACAGAATGCCCAACTGGTCACTACTGTCCAGATGAGGGTATGGTCCAGCCTGTCCAGTGTCCAGATGGTCACTTCCAGCTGAGCCCCGGTGGTGTGAATTGCACTGAGTGTCCAGCAGGTGAGAAAAATATTTGCAATTAATTATACAGTTATGTTTTACCTTAAATGACCAAGTTTGTTTAGTTTGTAGCATTTTGTCCAATTTATGAAAGAATTAAAATACTGAAACTGGAACAAGAAGCCCAAAGGCTTAGAGCAAGAAACGAGAGATGAATTTTACTAACTAGAGAGGAGAGCCCAGAACAGGGATTGAAGGAGGGATCTTGTCAGTGGCCCATATTCCAAGAGGGGCAATAGGCTTAAGTATATCATAAACAAAAAATTCAGTATTTAAACAAGTGTTGAAACTAATTTATTTTTCAACTTTTGCTGCTGCATGAATATGAAGTATTTTCTGTGAGAATTAGAGAAAAGAAATATTAAATGCTCCAAAAGACTTTGTCAAAGCAAAAATGTTGGTCCTGTTGCTTTTAGGGCATAGATGTCCAGCCATGAGTGGACCACCAATACCTTGCCTTACTGGTCAGTACCAGAACCACACCGGAATGTCCAGTTGTCTCCCATGTCTTGGTGGTCATCAGTGTCCAGTGGGAACAGACCCACCTGTTATATGTCCAGACGGTCAGTTTGCTGAGATTGGTAGTTCTACCTGTGTCATATGCCCCACTGGTCACTGCTGTCCAGATGTGGGGATGGTCCAGCCTGTCCAGTGTCCAGATGGTCACTTCCAAGTATTGACAGGTGGCACCAATTGTACAGAATGTCCAAAAGGTATATATGATATCTCCTGAAAGTTTTTTTTATTGCAGAAAAAAAACTGAAAATATTACACTGAAATTTTAATATCTTGCTCTTGCTTTATATGTTGCAACATATTCACAAACAGCACATGCACACACAAGCTCACACACACACACACACACACTTAGCAATTGTTTAATTAATATCATACATCTCCATTCTTCAGGCAACCACTCACATCTATCCATAAAAAATCCATCATGTACTCAAATTTAAATGATTCATGTAGAAAATGTTTTTTTTTTCAGACCATAAGTGTCCCAATCCGTCTCTTCCACCAGAACCTTGTTCTATTGGTCAGTACCAGAACCAGACCGGGATGACCGTCTGCGTCCCTTGTCCCGGAGGACATGTCTGTCCAATAGGGGGCAGCGCTCTGATTCAGTGTCAACCTGGGTTCTACTCGGACACTGGCCAGTGCACCATATGTCCTGCTGGTCACTACTGCCCAGACGTGGGGATGTTTCAACCTGTTCAGTGTCCACTTGGTCACTACCAAATGTACACTGGTGGCCTGAACTGCACAGAATGTCCAGTTGGTAAGGAAGGATGACACTATAAAAACTGTCTTTGAAAATTGTAACATCATTGGCTATGCACATGTATCATGAAAAAAGTTACTAGCCATATGATTGCAGTAATTGTAGTTCGAAAAAAATTTAAATGTAGAAATTTTTTATGTTTTTTTTTTAATCTCACTGTTTCCACACAATGTTATCACTGCCTATATTATAATTCAACATTTATGGCAGATTAGTTCTTTAAACTTTTGCTTTGCAAAACTAGAGATAAAAGTCCTCCAAATTTATTTATTTATTGTATTGATGCCCCCTGGATCCCCCCCCCCCCAATACACACACACACACACACAGTTTGCACTTGCATTTCAGGATTATTTTAAATTTCCATTTTCATATCTGTATTCATTTTTTCTCCACAGGCCACAGATGTCCCAGTATATATTCCCCACCAGAAGTCTGTTCAAGTGGTCAGTATCAGAACCAGTCAGGAATGTCCAGTTGTCTCCCATGTCCTGGTGGTCACAAGTGTCCTGATGAGAGTCCTACCCCTTTGGTTTGTCCAGTGGGGTCTTATGCAGCAGCTGGTAGTTCAACATGTACCATATGCCCCTCTGGTCACTACTGTCCAGATGCAGGCTTGGTCCAGCCTTTCTTGTGTCCATCTGGTCATTATCAAACAGTTAGTGGCAGTGTGGGCTGTATTGAATGTCCAAAGGGTAAGAGGATATTTTAGTTTTTAAATGGACAAGGATGTTGTATTGATAATAGATGATTACTAGGTGACACTGATGGGTTGGAAGCACTGTTTAAAGGATCTTTCCACAGGGAGTGGTACATTTAACTGAACCAGTTCACTTTGAGAGGTTGACAACTTTAATGACCTGGCTATCACATAAGGGAGAGAGCTCCCACCCCTCCCTTGAGCTTAACACAGCCGTTTGATTAACTTAACTAATCACTTACTGATTCCTGAAGAAACCAGAAAAAGCTGAACAGGTCTAAGTGTCTGTCATCATTATGTTTTGTTTTAAATTTATTCCTGTGTGATTGTGTAATATACTCTGCTTTTTTGCTTTTTCAACAGAAAAGTTTGTACATTAAGCCAGATCTGTTTCTGCTGATTGGACAGTACATTAAAAATTTAATTGTTCCAGATCACAAGTGTCCCAGCGTGAAGGGTCCCCCAGAACCTTGTCTGACTGGTCAGTATCAGAACCAGACTGGAATGACCGCTTGTCTAGCTTGCCCAGGTGGACATGAGTGTCCACTTGGTGGGGATTCCATCCAGAAATGTCCAGTTGGCTACTTCGCTTATCCAGGAAGCTCTAGCTGTACAGTATGCCCTACTGGTCACTACTGTCCAGATGCAGGCATGGTCCAGCCTGTCCAGTGTCCAGATGGTCACTATCAGTCATCCACTGGGAGTACAAGTTGTTCTGAATGTCCAACAGGTCAGCAAAAACAACTTGTTAACGTTTACTAAGACAGACATAAATTTGTTATATAGTTGATGTTTATTACAAAACATTACTTTTTTTGGAAATATGAAATTTAGTAATGTTCACAATTTTAACAGTTTTCTATAGTTAGCAGTCTCATAGTCTTATGTCTGTTTTAATGAAAGAAACAACAGTTTACTATATCTTGTGCCAAAAAGAATATAAATTAATTTTTGGATAAAAAAATCAAATATCAGTTTGGTCATGGGTCCCAAAATTTCAGTTAGCCTTCAGACTTTTCCATTTCTATATATAATTATGCATCTTTTTTCTGCTTTATTAACTTTTAAAAAAAATTCCCATTTTCCTTTCTGAAATATTTTTTTTGTTTCAAAAATATGTATTCAATTCCATTCAAGGTCACAGATGTCCGAGTATTTACTCCCCACCAGAACCTTGTTTGTCTGGTCAGTATCAGAACCAGACTGGAATGTCCAGTTGTCTGCCATGTCCTGGTGGACACAAATGTCCAGATGGAGGTGGACATCTAATCCAGTGTCCAGTTGGCTATTATGCTGAGTCAGGAAGCTCTAGCTGTACAATATGCCCCGCTGGTCACTACTGTCCAGATGTGGGCATGGTCCAGCCTGTCCAGTGTCCAGATGGTCACTATCAGACATCCACTGGAAGTACTGCATGTAATGAATGTCCTACAGGTATATGTTTTAAAGCAAAGTTTGTTCAAAGGTAAATGGTGTATATAGATAAATGAATAAATAAATAAATAAATAAATAAATAGACAAATAAATAGATAGATATACACAGGGAGGCCAAGTGCCCTAGCATCTTAAGGTCTCCCCAAATTTAGATAAATAAATCAATTTATCTCCTAGCTCTCACACATTCAGAAATATAGTTATCTCCTAACATTCATTATTGCATTTTTTGCATTAATATTGTCTTATTTGGTATCTCTTTAACGTGGCACATTAAAATTTAGGTCAAAAATTAAATTGTTAAATCTCTGATGCAACAAGAAAATCACTGTCTATGTTAGAAGATGTTAAAGATAGTAGCTTAACCGCCCCTCTGCAATTAAAAGCAATTAGCACTTAGTTCGCAGGAGACCACCTTTTGCTGCTCACACTATGGTCCTCTCCTTGATTGCTATCTTCACCTGGCTGGCTAGAAGTCAGTCCAAGTAGACGTCACTGCTTAATGACTTAACTGCAAGCCACTCCAATAATGACCTTACTCATAGTTGATCTGACAAGCAATGTGAATCAGTCCATGCTGTAATAAGTCAGACCATGTGAATCCATTTTGATCTGAAATTGTAGAGTAACACCATTTCAGGAGCGCTAGTGCTGGCCTCTGCAAAAAATTTTCAGCTTATCCACAAGGACCGTCAGGGCACCACAGCAGGTAATTTATACATATAGTGAGAGCTCCCAATCACTGTTTGTCTACTTTGTGTTTGATTTGAACGTTCATTTTTTACTTCTTAAGGTCACAGATGTCCTAGCATATATTCCACACCAGATCCATGTGCCAGTGGTCAGTATCAGAACCAGACTGGAATGTCCAGTTGTCTGCCATGTCCTGGTGGTCATCAGTGTGCAGTAGGGAGTGACCCCCCAGTGATGTGTGCACCAGGAGAGTATGCTGAGGCAGGAAGTACCCGTTGTACCAGGTGTCCCGCTGGTCACTACTGTCCAGATGCAGGCATGGTCCAGCCTGTCCAGTGTCCAGATGGTCACTATCAGACAACTTTAGGGAGCACAAGTTGTTTGGCTTGCCCTCAAGGTAGTAAATCAAAGGAAATCCTTTTAAAATCAATATTGAGAGGTATTTTCAGATGAATTTTTAGTTGCGTTCTGAACAAATTACTTTTTCTCCCAGTTTTGAGTAGTTTTAGTATATCTATACATGATGGGTTGATTTCTTACTGATCCATTACAGAAAGCAGGGAAGAGTTGAAAGGCATTTGATTTTGTTTATTTCAAACGTAATTGAGGTTTTTTTATTAATATGTAAACATTATTCTTTCACAAAGTTAAATATTCTCAGAGTTAATTTCTAACTTAAAAAAAAACTTTCATGCATTAATTATTATTCCAGGTCACAGATGTCCCAATATATACTCCCCACCAGACTCTTGCTCTGCTGGTCAATATCAACACCAGACTGGAATGTCCAGTTGTCTGCCATGTCCTGGTGGTCATAAATGCCCCGTGGGCAGTGTATCAACTACGGTGTGTCCAGCTGGGAAGTATGCAGATCTTGGAAGTTCCAGTTGTAATAACTGCCCCACTGGTCACTACTGTCCAGATGCAGGCATGGTCCAGCCTGTCCAGTGTCCAGATGGTTACTATCAAACCACTTTAGGGGGCACTAGTTGTACTGAATGTCCAGCAGGTAACAGCAAGAATGAGAAATGAAAATTTAAATGAAAAAAATTAATCTTTGTTTTTGTAGTTTGGAGCCTTTTACCTATTCAGTATGTTTTGGTATTTCTTTCATTGAATATCTGGTAAATAAGAAATTGAATTTTTAATTTAGCCTATAAAAGGACTGTGATTTCTTTTTATTTGAACCTTTGCTGGATGAGGTGGATTTTCTTCCCCTGAACTTATAGAAATAGAAATTCTTCTCCCTATAAAGCTGTACAAAGAGTGAATGTTTTCCTTTGTTTGAACCTCTTTAGTGTTCTTTTTGTTTCCTGTGAAACTAAAACGTAGGGAAATGCTACTTACTTTAAAATTTCTGTTTACTTTACAGTATTTGGAAGAACCTTTTCTGTATTATGAATAAAAATGTGAAAAATTGGAAATTATGAGTTACAATGAGTACTACCCCTTTATTTATTTATTCAACTGTTCCCATATCCCTGGCCTGTATATAGATATTAATCTTTCCAAACAGGTCACAGATGCCCCAGTATATACTCCCCACCAGAACCTTGTCTGTCTGGTCAGTATCAGAACCAGACTGGAATGTCCAGTTGTCTACCATGTCCTGGTGGACACAAATGTCCAGTTGGTAGCAGTCCACCTGAGGAGTGTCCAGTTGGTCATCACGCTGACATTGGAAGTTCTACCTGTGACACCTGCCCCATTGGTCACTACTGTCCAGATGTGGGCATGGTCCAGCCTGTCCAGTGTCCAGATGGTCACTATCAGACAGCGCTTGGGAGTACGAGCTGTGTGGATTGCCCTGTTGGTAGGTCTAATAATTCTTTGTTCCTTTAATGTAGGCGCATTTGCACCAGGTTCAATTTAGAACTGGTCTGATTTAAACAAAATTTACAAGCAAAAAGAGTCCCCCCATACGCCATCTATGATTGTGTGGCTAAAATCTTGGAAGTCATGCTTTCAGTTTACAACACTTAAAAATTTCAAATGCTTTTTTATTAATAGGACTGGAGAGAGATTTATTAAAGAGAGTGCTCTACTTGATGATAAAAAGAAAAATAGTCATTCATTGCTTATCACCTCACATTGTCCTACAATTGTAGGATTTCTTTTATGATTATTTCTCTTTTTTTAAGATTATTTTAAAAAAAGTAAATTTAAATGGAGAAAAGGTGAACAAACTTAAATATGTCAAATATGTCATTGAATGATATTATTGTCAAGTGCTATGAGATATCTGAACCAGTCGCCAACAACTTTTCTCCAGCTGTCACAGCCAGCCATTTTCATTAGGGTTGAACTGATTCAGGTTAAAAATTTTGGAGACAATATTGTGAAATATCTTGTAGCTCTTCATATGAATAATATAATAATATCATTAAATATAACCTGAAACTGCTTACTAGTACATTTAATTAGCATGTAATTTAGAATTTTTTTATTAAGGACACAGATGCCCTAATGTCTATAACATGCCAGAACGCTGTCTGTCTGGTCAGTATCAGAACCAGACCGGAATGTCCAGTTGTCTGCCATGTCCTGGTGGACACAAATGTCCAGTTGGTAGCAATCCACCTGAGGAATGTCCATTTGGTTATCACGCTGACCTTGGAAGTTCTACCTGTGACACCTGCCCCACTGGTCACTACTGTCCAGATGGTGGCATGGTCCAGCCTGTCCAGTGTCCAGATGGTCACTATCAGACATCCACTGGGAGCACAAGTTGTACTGAATGTCCAACAGGTACATGTAGGATCTTTAATCATGGTCTTGTATGAGCAAAATAAGTGTAACATTATAGATTTAGCTGAGTCACATTTAACTCTTCTTTTATGTATAATTTTTTTATTTAATAATATTAAATTATTTTGTCTCTGAAATATATTTAAAGAAAAGCCACCGCAAAAAATGTTTATTTGTTTGTATTTCAGCATGCATCAAGAATTTCATCCCCACAGCTGGAAAGTTAACCCCAGTCATGTGGATTCTTGTATGTTTTCTAGTCTTGCATTTTGAATGGCTTCCATTATCATTATGACAGCATTTTACTGAAGATCACTAATTATAACAATATTTCTTTATGGTCTCAGGTCATAGGTGCCCCAGTGTGTACTCCCCACCTGAGCCTTGTTTGACCGGTCAGTACCAAAACCAGACCGGAATGGTCAGTTGTGAAGTATGTCCAGGGGGGTACAGATGCCCAGGAGGAAATGCCCCACCTGTGAAATGTCCAGTTGGTCACTTTGCTAATATTGGAAGTTCTACCTGTGCCAGCTGCTCTACGGGTCACTATTGTCCAGATGCAGGCATGGTCCAGCCTGTTCAGTGTCCAGATGGTCACTATCAGACGTCCACTGGGAGCGTTAGTTGTACTGAATGCCCAATAGGTTTGAAAATGCTTTTTTGTTCACAGTAGTTGGTATTTTGGTGAGGAATAGCTTTGTGAATCCTTCAAAACCTTGAAAATACATGTAAATTCATATCTGTCACAGGTTTAGTTGTTAAATTCACAATGCANGAATGTAAAGTGTTGCGAACCCTTTAAACAAGGTGAATGGTAATATGCACGTTTAGACAAATTTTAATTTTACTTTCAATTAAATTTAATTTTAATTAAAATTGATATTACCAAATTTAGTAAATGTCATTTGCGTCATGTATCAATATTTTTTCGCATAATAGTACCTACGTTATAAACATTCAGCAAAGATATTCAGAAGGCCGCTCTTTTGTTGTTTATATCAAAGGAAAACTATTTGATACCCATCGTATCAATCATTATACCATGATAAGAGATTAGCATACTAATTTATGTCCCCAGTAATAATAACTTTAACAATAACAACAAACCTTCCTACTGTGCTTTCCGTTGCAAAAACAATTAGCCACGACTGTTTTACGCAACAGCAAGACTGAAGGACGCAAGTTACAAAGCAAAACATGTTTAGTCAAGTTAAAGACTTAATTACCGGTTTCACTTCGGCGGCAGTGCCTACTGCTGTGAGCAACATGCGCTGTCCATCGTAATCCCCCTATCATTAACACTGTCGGGGACGTGCGCATTAGCGCGTCTGATGTAGACAGCGTGTGCTATTAAAGTGACCGGGGACTTATTAGCTATAGTGTACATGTAGGATCTTTAATCATGGTCTTGTATGAGTAAAATAAGTGTTACATTATAGATTTAGCTGAGTCACATTTTACTCTTCTTTTATGTATAATTTTTTTATTTAATAATATTAAATTATTTTGTCTCTGAAATATATTTAAAGAAAAGCCACCGCAAAAAATGTTTATTTGTTTGTATTTCAGCATGCATCAAGAATTCCATCCCCACAGCTGGAAAGTTAACCCCAGTCATGTGGATTCTTGTATGTTTTCTAGTCTTGCATTTTGAATGGCTTCCATTATCATTATGACAGCATTTTACTGAAGATCACTAATTATAACAATATTTCTTTATGGTCCTCAGGTCATAGGTGCCCCAGTGTGTACTCCCCACCTGAGCCTTGTTTGACCGGTCAGTACCAAAACCAGACCGGAATGGTCAGTTGTGAAGTATGTCCAGGGGGGTACAGATGCCCAGGAGGAAATGCCCCACCTGTGAAATGTCCAGTTGGTCACTTTGCTAACATTGGAAGTTCTACCTGTGCCAGCTGCTCTACGGGTCACTATTGTCCAGATGCAGGCATGGTCCAGCCTGTTCAGTGTCCAGATGGTCACTATCAGACATCCACTGGGAGTGTTAGTTGTACTGAATGCCCAATAGGTTTGAAAATGCTTTTTTGTTCACAGTAGTTGGTATTTTGGTGAGGAGTAGCTTTGTGAATCCTTCAAAACCTTGAAAATACATGTAAATTGATATCCGTCACAGGTTTAGTTCTTAAATTCACAGNGTTTAGTTGTTAAATTCACAATGCATTTGTAATGCATTGTTCTTTTAGATGTTTTTGACTGTTTTAAAACTGACCATATTTGGCTTAATGAGTAAAAACCAGTGAAAGCTTTGTGTGCATCTCAAAAAAAGTTTGTTTTATAATCGCAAGGTCACCGCTGTCCCAATATATATATGGAGCCAGAGGCGTGTTTGTCTGGGCAGTACCAAGGTCAGGCCGGAATGATGGCTTGTCTTCCATGTCCAGGTGGACACCATTGTCCAGATGGAAGCGACCCTCCTATCCAGTGTCCAGTTGGTTATTTTGCTGAGGCACGAAGCTCTAGTTGTACAGTGTGCCCCACTGGTCACTACTGTCCAGATGTGGGCATGGTCCAGCCTGTCCAGTGTCCAGATGGTCACTATCAGGCGTCCACTGGGAGCACTGCATGTTTAGAGTGTCCTCAAGGTAATGGCACCATCTAAAGCGTTTTGTCAAATTTGAGTTGGATGTTAGCACAGATGGTAAAAATTAAGATAATGAGCCCACAGTACCTGTGACCTTGAACTTGGCCTTGACCTTAACTTGCAACACTAAGTGTCAAGAATTGTAGATTTTGATGAAGGGGCATGACCACAAAAGACATCTACCAGTAAATATAGATTTAAAGTACCGTAAGCAATGGCAAATACCCTTAAATACTTGATTCATGGCTTTTATGATCCAAAAGGGATCCAATATTAGACTGCGTTATACCACAGGTGACTTGAAACTAGTAGATTGCTGGCCTTTAAATATTCTTTTGTAGAATATCCATTTCAGGTCATAGGTGTCCTAGTATATATGCATTGCCAGAACCATGCCTCCCTGGTCAGTATCAGATCCAGACTGGAATGGCCACTTGTCTGCCATGCCCAGGTGGTCACCAGTGTCCAGTAGGCAGTGACCCACCGGTCAAGTGTCCAGTTGGTTCCTTTGCCAGCACTGGAAGCTCAAGCTGTACCCTCTGCCCCACTGGTCACTACTGTCCAAATACTGGCTTGTCCGCAGCTGTCCAGTGTCCATCTGGTCATTATCAGTCCGACACTGGAAAAGAGAATTGTACAGAGTGCCTTATAGGTAATTATTATACCTGTTTCTTTCTTTGAAGCTTATAATTAGGTTTTTGAAGTTTCTTTTTTACTTTTATTAGTAAGAATTTTTTATAAGAATTGTATAAACTAGATTTAATTAATTAACCATAGTGTGAACAATTAGGCAAAGCGGACTGGACCATACATAACTTTGTCCCTTCAGGTCATAGATGTCCCAGTATATACTCGCCTCCAGTACCTTGCCTTACTGGTCAGTATCAGAACCAGGCTGGGATGACCACCTGTGTCGCTTGTCCAGGTGGACATGAGTGTCCAGTTGGCAGTGATCCCCCAATTCAGTGTCCAGCAGGTTACTATGCCAACATAGGGAGTTCAACATGCGCTATCTGCCCCACTGGTCACTACTGTCCAGTTGCTGGTAATGTCCAGCCCATACAGTGCCCAGCCGGTCACTACCAGCCTTATGCAGGTAGATTAAATTGCACGGAGTGTCCAATAGGTAATGTATCTAAAATTTTTTGGGGGCTGACTTTACCCTGATTTAAATATGTATTTTGTATGACATGTGCTTTCTTTTAACAGCTTAATTGTTATTGTCCTTCAGGAATTTTGAAAAAACCATGCATGCTATTAATCAAGACCTTGATTTGAAAATACATGAATTACTTGATTTGTCTAAGCGTATGCAAAAATTGAATTATAAGAATTCAGTTTATGTGCAGATATTTAAGTGTCTGCACATAAACTGAATTCAGATTACCTGTCAGTCCTTGTGATAAAAACCTTGAAAGATCAGTAATTGATTTATAGCAGATCCAATTCAGTCTAGTGTAAACAGTCTTTGTATTCTACGTATCCATAGGCTATAGCTGTCCTAGCCCAGTCCAGTTTCCAGAGGCATGCATAGCAGGACAATACCAAAACCAGACAGGCAGGACAGCATGTCGACAGGTTAGTGAGACATATTTGTGATGAACTGGATTAGCATGACAGTAATAAGACAGGTTTGTGAAACATTGTGATGAACCAGACTAGCATGACAGTAATTAGACAGGTTTGTGAGACATTGTGATGAACTGGACTAGCATGACAGTTATTAGACAGGTTTGTGAGATATTGTGATGAACCACACTAACATGACAGTAATTAGACAGGTTTGTGACACATTGTGATGAGCCGGACTATTGAACAATGTAATTTCTTTACTTTTAAAAGTGTTTTTTTTTTTTAAGTTTCATAACTGATGTAGAATAGTGTTATGTTGTATATATAAATTGTCACACACAGGCACCGAAGTCATGAATTTTACTACCCTCTTCACCCTGTTTGATGACCTATCTTGATCAGCTGACTGATTTGAATACTCTGGATTCCCTTATGCATCAATCAAGATCAAGAACCTAAATCAGAACTGGTTTGCTAAAAGAATTTTTAAAAAGAATGAAAGCATAGCGTGATAACCTCTTATGTTTCTTTCAGTGTCCAGATGGCTATTACCAGACTGGCCAGGCCCAGGAATATTGTTTGGAGTGTCCAGAAGGTACCTTTATTCATTTTACCTTGGACAGTTTCAGAATGGCTTACTTTGGGGGTCGGAGTTTATATGTGCGGCCTTGTATATTTTTAGGCTTTTTCAAGCATAAGATTTGTTTGAGGAGGATGAAGATTCCAGTTGGGTGATTACTGGTCATAGATTCTAGTTAATATCCCACAACAAGTACTCTTCAATTGGTTACTATATTTGATGAAAAAAGTTTTTCTTTTTGATATACATAATTTACTCCTAATAAAAATGCATATATAATCTTCATAAGGAGCTCATAATGACTTTTGCTATAGTGCCCATATCAGCTTACACTGGTTGCTGATATCTCTGAAAGATGATTTAACCTGCAATTGTTTCTGTATGAAAAAAAAATAGAACATCCAGATTGTTACAATGTGTTTACTGTTTTAGACCCCATTCCCATAGATTTTAGATCGATCTATCCCTGTGGGGAGTCTCACTAGATTACTGTCAGCTTAGCCAGCTTAAACGTACATATGAACCGAGCATCGGTGGAGCATGGATTCCCAGTAACACGTGTAAACCACTTCTACTAGATTCTTATATGACTCAAATAAATTCGACATGCCAAGGGATAAACTGAATAGATCACTTGATCAGCCATAAAAGACCTTTAGACTGCTCTTTTCTTTAAATTTTTGGTTGTAAATTTAACCTACTTCCGTGACCTACTTTCCTGCCCCATTGACATACAGCTTAGAATGCCAGCAGAAAAATCTGTTCAAACATCATTTTCGGGTAAAATTAAACAATGCCTTTTGGTAATTCTCTTAGTTATACTACTTGAAACTATATGCTGGCATTTGGTTGGTTTTTGTGACAAAAAATTGACTTTGTATGTATCTTTAAGTGTCTGTCGTGCCTACTAAAAGCTGTTAGGGGGTAATTAACTATGGTGCACGCTCAGCTGCCTGCAATTTAGCGTGAACCCCCAGGGAGTTAGGTCGATCTAAATATAAATCTCTGGTTCGATCCAAATCTCTGGGAATGCGCCCTTAGATTTTTTATATCTTAATAAATTGTTTTTTTTAATTGTCTGTATCAAATCTACTGATGATTTTGTAATGAATTATAGACTTTAAATTAATACATTAATATCGTTTTTTCTTCCTTGACAGGCCACAGCTGTGGTAACCCCGAGGGTCACCCAGTGCCCTGCCACCCTGGTCAGTACCAGAATGACACTGGAATGACCAGCTGTAAACAGGTCAGTTATGTCACAGTCACAATGAATGGTCTAAACATATTTCTGAGAGCTGAGTAATAGATTTATTTATAATCAGTAACATAAAAAATTTGAATGAAAAAGATAAATGAGGGTTGCTTATTGTATAAAGATGTCATATGCCTTGTATAGAAACCACTGTATGGGACACATTTGCTCATGTAATGCACAAACATGAGCTTTTTCTGTGGAAAAGCAGAATTTCGCGTTTTTTAACTCAATTCTGATGGTTCCTGGGACTCGTCAAGGTTAGGTGTTGGGTCCCATGATAAATGTTCGGATTTTTTTTTTTAACCTAGGCTCATGACTGAATGCAGGGGCTATTTTTTAACAGTCTTCCAAATTATCTTTATTGATCAATCCTAATCTCAATATCTGAATCTGAATAAGTAATTTACATAACATATATTGTTGTTTATTTCACTGTATTTCAGGCCTACAGGCCAAGAGTACATCAATTGAGTTCTATTTATAATAATACTGAGCTGACTACACAGGAATATATATCATAAACGACACAAATCACTTATCTAAAAAAACATCTCTTAATTTCTCAGCATGATATATGAAGGCCGCAAGTCTTTTTATAAAGTCATCATTATGTGATGACAGAGCAGTCGCTAGTGACAATGTTGTAATCTAGGGAATATAGTGTTCCCTCAGACCGTTTTATAAACTACATGACATTAACACGTGTTCCTCATTCTCAATAATTGTTATGCCATCAGAAAGGCATGCAGCACATACTCTATTTTCCCCATCTACAGTGGCATACCGACCCTTCTCAACCTGTAAATTGTGGTTTGATATTCTGAACCTGCAGTAGGCCCTTCCATGCTCTGCTATGGACACAAAAGATAAGTATTCCTCAAATACCAAATCTAGTTTAAATGAGCTGTAGGTCCTTAGCTTGCCCGATTCGCGATCATTTGTGTTACCTTTTTTATGCAAAGGAAAAATGATGGCAACCGACCACGATTCAGGAAACTGACCAGTGGCAAGTTTGTTGATCAATCCTCTATTTATGAAGGTCTTCTGCCAGATAAAATTAGATGTCTGTTAATGTATGCCTCCATTGGCCTCTGAGTGTCATGGTGAACAACATTTTGGGATATTTTAAGTCTCCAAGGGCCAATCTGCATAAGCCTATTTAGAATGTAAATTTCTACCATAGTAGGTGGATATTTCTTATGTGCCTTTCACAATAAAAGATTGCATTATTAAAGTTTAAACTATTAAAGGTAATAGGTAAGTCTTTGTTTGACTAAACTTTGTGCCCTCTCTCTCTCTCCATCCCCCCTCTCCTACATGTATTAAAGTCTGGAATGGTTATGTATTAAGGATTCTTTCTTTGTGAGACATAGGTGAAGACAGAACTGAAAACTGATTTAATTTTAATATCTCCTTCATCTTAGTTGAGAAGAATGGAGTTTATAAAAGACAAATGGCAAACAAAAGAAGTTGACATTTGGCCTATGGGTTAAGGAGGCCTTTTTTATTGTCAAACTCAAACAATGTCAAACAATGTTACTTTCACTTATTAAACAGGTCATAAATATCATTATTGAAGTGATTAATAAAAGTGCTGAGTCATGGCCTATGACCCAAGATTTTATGGTAAAACATTCTGCATTGAGCTCGGTTTTGAGGGGTTGCAAAAAGACAAGCTGACCTGTTGCATTGTCCATATGTAAGGAAAGAGGAGATTTATAATAGTTGTGTAACTCAACCCATGCAGTTACAGAGAATATATGGTTCATTAGGACTAGAAGGTATTCCAATGATATTTTCTTTCAAGTGTCATGTAAAATCTGAGAGAAAAACAAATCAGTGCTTCATTTTAACATAACAAATATCGATATGCCATTAAAATTATTCTTTCAAGTGATGTTACGAAGTGTTATATAAAATCTTAGTCTGAGCATCAATTAAATACTTCACTGAAATATAACAGTTTGGCCAATAGCTGTTCAAGGACAATGAAAGCCCTAGCAAGTGACATTAAGTGCAAAGATTCCCTCTTCAACAGGTAACCAATCTGACACCCCAATCAAATAAGTTCCATCGTCTAACCGTCCTTGGTCCAATTCTATTTTGGAGTATTGTGATCCACATTTGTCATTGTTTCCCACAGTAGCATGCTGATAATCAATAGTACACGTCGGGCCCCTGTTACTTGACAATTGCACTTGTGATAGAACTTCACAACCAAATATGGCTAGTTGTGTGTTAAAATTGGTCAGAGTAGAATCACATGTGGAAACTGTAATTGGATTTATCCTGTGGTAGTGGAAGTAATAATAAATAGTATATGCAATATCACTGCCTTCAAATGCAAGATATTTGTGGATAAATTCATAGTTGGTGCCGTCACAGGGAACTTCTGTTATATCTGTTATAAATGAATGAATGAAAAAACATTAAGCTATTTTTGTGATCGCCATAAGTGATCATAATAATTATTATAATGGATTATTTTATGATGTAATCCATACATTTTCTTAACCTGAGTTTAGAAATACTCAATAAAGCAGTAATTAAGCTAGAGATGTTGAACTTCTGTGTATATTTGTGTATAAAAGGTTTAGTCCACTTTGCCTAAAATAAAACTGTGAGCTTCACTTTTAAGCAGTTACTGGATCTAAGTGAAATTATACTCACGGCACACAGCACCTAGAAAATGAAGAAATGAAAGATCATGTTCTGCCAATTACGTGCTTAAAAGGCCATTTCAAACAAAATTAACTGAAATGTTAACTTGTTTATTAATTGATTTTTAATCTAATAAAATTAATTATTCTATTTATTACATAAAACATATCTGCAGTGTTGACAAATAGTATTTCAGTGTATTTGATTCCATGCAGATAATTGCTGTTTTTCTTAATCAGTAAATAATTAATCCTCAAGGCAGATATCAATAAAAAACAAAACTGTGATGTCTTTTGTAGTTAAATGACTTACAAAAATATTCACATATGATGTTCTCACAACTTTACTTTTTAGACAGCTGCTTTAATATGTGGAACTTTCTATGTAAAAGGGATGAAGTAAAAAAGAAAGACTTCTATTTGATATATTATATTATAGATGTTAAATTTATAAATTATAAAACTTTTTTGTTTAACCTTACTTTTCTATGCTGATAGAACTTATTTATACATATTGTGTCATATATGTGTTTAATTAAATTATAGTTTTATTTTTGATTCTCACTTGGGCTACATGTACAAAAGCCACAATGGTTGCCTGAAAATCCATCATTACACACACAAGAGTAAGGTTCTGAACAAGGTACAGCTTCCCCATCTTCATTGGTAGTATGTTTGCAGTGAATCCAGTTTATTTCCATCATACAGCATCTTTCGACATTATCCCTACACACAGGTGGACTTGCCCCAATTGCTGCAAAATAAACTCGAAGATTAGAATGGTGACACTGCTTCTATCAAAGAATACTTGGTGGTACTCAAACTGAATTCAGTATCATCTTTAATTATGTATTATATTAGTCATATTTATAAAAGGCAATATACAGAGCCTATTTATGACCTAAAACTGTTAGGGGGTTGTGATTATAGTTCACAAAAATAAAATCAGCAATTCACAAATCACAGTTGGAAGTTCCTGTATATATATATATTGCATACTTTGTCTAATTAAGTCTTACGCATATAGTTACATATGCCTTTAATACAGAAATAAATATATTGGACTTTAGTACTTACCACCATGTAGTGACACCACCACCAAAACAACACAAAGGAACATGAGCCTGGTCATCTTCCTGTTCAAACAATGAATAGTTCTGCAGCTGCTTCTGCCAAATTGCTGATCCATAGTCAGAGAATAACTGTTTATCTGATGAAACTTGGAAGTGATTGTGCTTTTTATAGCAATTCTAAAAATCCCGTAACATTTCATTTTACCTTTTTAGTTAAATTGGCTTTGATACTCAGAAGAATTTTCCACATTGTATCTCATTGGTAATGACTGCTGTAGGGTAACCAATCAGATATTGACTTTCAAATGAGCCTTAAATACTCATTCACCTTTTCTGGCTCATTTCTCTGATCTCTAAACCAAACTTCATCATCATCAAAACTTAGGATAATTGATTTCAATTATACAGCAACTGTTCTCAATTCCCTAAATTATAGTGCCCATATATTTGCATTACTATGTATTTGGGGTTATCCAATTAATCATCATTTTCACAAGTCTGTACAAACATTTTCTGGGTTAAGGCCGCTCAGTGCTAATTCTGCTTCACTCAGTATGCTGCCAGTGTCATACATGAATGTAGCATCTTGATACACAAGAAAACATACAATCATGGGCTTATAAACAGAAAATGCATAATCTACAGTGTATTTGACAATATAATTTGGCAGACATTGCAGTAGGCCAGCATGATAGCAGTTAAAAATTAAAGTATCATGGAACAGTTTGTGTACCCTGCTTCAGGTACATTTGCTAAAAACTCTCAACCTTCTGTCAATATCTATTAAAATGTTGTTATAAATAATTGACATTATATTCTTATAAGTTGATCTCTCTGTGTAAACTTTCTCTGTATTTATCTACTTTTTTAAGGGTGCCTTTCATGACAATAAATAATGTGAAAGAGTAGACTAGGGAATTTGACCTGTATCTGTAGTTTGGCATTTATTGAAAAGTTATAGTTGCAAATTTGAATTATTGATATCATACTCAGAAGTTCCTTTTCTCCATCTATGTCTTGTTCCTGTCCTGTC